CCTGCGGTGTCCATTTGTTCGTGTAACTGCAATGGATAGGGCTCGGCTCACCAATTTCACACACACTACGTTGTGTGTCGCGAGCAGCAACCGGCCTCACTTCATTGTACATGGCTGTTCCAGGTGTTGGTTTATCATACTCGTCCAAATTATTGGCCAAAGCACGATAAAGCCGACATTACAAGGACTATGTGAGAGACAGAGGCTTGTGGGATGCTACTCAAATGCTAATCGCAAGAGGCGACATGCAAGTGGCGTAACGAGTACAGAAGTACGGTGAACAGTTAGATTGTCTGGAGCGCAGGTAGGCAGAAGCAGACAGCAGTATGCGGCGTGACTAACCAGAGGAGAAAGTGTCCGGTATGTACAATCAGTTAGACAATTGGACGGTCAGAATAGATACGCAAGAATAAAATTCAACATCTCAATTTACTGAATGTGTGTATGATTCAGCTTCACTACCGACTCGAACAGTAGCATCCTACCGGAAAGCAATTTCTGCACTTGTCAATTAAGAGCATGTCAACAACTACGGGCGCACGCTATGAGAAATTGTCAACCGAGAAATCGGGTTCCAACAAAGTAAAAATTTCTTTCTCTACTTGTGCCTTCGCTTACTTTTGAACCCCGTAATGGTTTGCCAGCCTACTTTCTCAATACTAACATGATTGCAGGATTTCATTTTCCAGTGCATTGTTGACCAGTTGTACCTCACTATTCCAACCATCCACATTCACTCTAACGTTGAAGCATCTTCCAGGTCCCTTCACCGAAATCGTCGCGACCCAAGTCACCATCGAAAATAAGCAGGATTTTAACATATCCTTCCAGGTTTCGTCAACTCGTCCGGAACGATATTTGCTTACCTGTCAGGGTGAGTTGCTTGAACCTGGATATTATGTGGAGGTCAATGGTAAGGCAGTTTGAATTCATCCGCTCGAATTTGTTCATTTGCAGTACTCGTACTGCCATTCGACTACCAGCAATCGGAGGAACCCGATGATGAGATAATTATTCGATGTATTGCTCAATTGGAGAACCAGAAATCGGCTCGAGCGGTATGTGACAGCTATATACTTCTTGATCTATGTGTAAGTGGAATTATGCCGATCCGGATGATATTGTGGTTTACAAATTGAAATGCATTCCGTGGATACCTGATGAACTCCTTATACATCCGAGAGGTGAACTGTTATTTGAAGGTACCCTGTTTCTGTGCTCACCCTAATATTTTCTAGGTCCGTTTGATAAACTCGTAGCGTCTAAAATTCATTTGACCAACCCATCGAATGATCGAATGTACTTCCATGTTCAAGCCCCTTCTCGTGATATCTGGGTCCTCCCGGATTCCGGCATACTTGATCAAAAGGAGACGAAAGTGATTAGGGGTAATTTCAGCTAGTGACTTGCTAACGTTGCGCCCACCTCGAAGTCCACTGTAAACCGCTAGACTTAAGTACTACCGATCTGTCACGCTACCACATCATTATCAAGTCTACAGTACTCAAGGAAAAGCAGACAAAGCCTATTGAGGATGTGGTAAGCGGTCTGTTTAACGATGTAACTATCTGAATTTGTTGTTTCGCATTGTTCAGCTATGCTCAGTTAAGAAGGTGGACTGCATGCTCAAGTGCATATTCAAATCGCCTGGAATGCTCACGTCAGCTGTAAGTGGTTCCTCAAGCAGATGCTAATTCATTGCCACCTCTTCTAATCTATGTCCTAACTTTCCTCTATAGCAGTCAGATTCCGGCTCACATTGCAAGGATGCCTCACTAGAGATGCTACTAGCTGAGCTGTTGAGGCTGCGCGAGGAGGTCAAATTACTCAAGGTAAATATTTGTGATAACATTATCCAGGTAGCCATTCTTGCTTTGGAAGAGTCTCCCTATTGTCTCATAATCAGCTTGACATTTTCTCAAAAGCTGTTCCGTTGTACCCACGCCCATGTCAACATACCGACATGGTGATAGCCCCTGGTTGTACAATTTTCTACGGGTAGCCGGAATACATACCGGAATACCCGACTGGAGTGTGCCGCTCCGTTTAGTTACTTAGATTCTTTATATCGCAGTAATAATGACATATAGATTGCATACGTTTGCCTCCACTGTTCCAACCCATGCACCGATGGGTGCAAGGAGGTGCCAGCCCGGAAGTGCACGTATGAACGGCAATGGATGTTAACTCAGTCACAGCAGTTGACCTGATGTTTTGCAGTGAGGATACAGCCCTTAAAAGTCCACAAAATGGATACATATTGCTTGGAGCAATCTAACTGGATTAGTTCCTTGGTAGATGCTTTGAGCAGCACAAGAAATTGTCCAACAATAACCCTCCTCATCGTGCATGCAATACTTATGTTTTGGTTTCCTCTTTGCAGGCACAAGTGCCCAATCGGAGTCCCACGCAACCACTTCGCTAGAAACGGCATACAGACCACCACCAGAGGCCGTGCATCCACCCCCCCACTCCCAACCTGTGTTTGTCAATCGGCGTATATCTCATAACTGCCCTCTCTGGTTTTTGTTTTTGACAACATATGGAATAAACTACTAAACGACGGTGTTTTCTTCATTTTTTTGAGTTATCACAGTGGCTTACCCAATCTTGCTGATATTTTTATGCGTGATATCCATGTGCGTGTGTGCTTCCGTTTGTCCGGATTGTATGCACACCGATTCGTGAACCCCTAATATAGAACAGCGATATTCGGTCGAATGTAAATATACGAGGCGATGCCAATACCGTGTTAGTGTTCACACCGAGAACTTTACAGACCAGATTAATGTGCACATACATACGTTAAAAAAAGATTGTGATTCGGCCTGTGCCGTGCAGTTGCACAGCTAACTTCCTGGTTTCCCATATATGTAACACGTTGAAGTCACTTCGCGGAGTTTTTTATGCCGATGAACTTCCAATCTGGGATGGCTCCGTTTCACGAAATGGGCTGAACGGCGAAAGCGTAGATCCTAATCTGCCATTGTGAGTGCAGATTCAAACTTTGGCTTCGCGTTGTTGCTACTACGTGTGTTGGCTTTCTCTGCTCAAATCACTACTGCTTCATTCATGTGTACATGAAACTGAGCCAATAATGTCCCCTCATACAGAGGAGTGGCTGCTATGCAGCGTACAACATTTGCTTCCAATTAAGAGTAGCAGTCACTTTGAATGCTACAATGTTCCGATATGTCTATGGGCAACACTGCCAAATTGGTTTGAGTGTGCAAAGTATTAGAGCTGTCTTCTGGATACAATACTGTAGAGTAGGTCATGTGGATTATATAATCTGCGTCTACAGGCTAACCAAACGCTGCACTATCGATGTCGGCAAAGAAGTGTCGTCCGATTGAAACCATTTCTCTCGTCCGAAACATTGCTGCTCCATGTGGATATGGATTTCAGAACCTCAGTATCCCTGGCAAGTTGGTGTATCTTCGCGAATGCATGCCAGTGTGCGAAATGCAATGCTCTCTCTCAAACTTGACCACTGTTCACGTTGTGGTTAACCTACGTATTTCTGTCTCCGGGGCGTTGGCTAACGCAGATAGGCACTGAGGTTTGCTAACCCTAACAGGCGCATCCCACCACCGATTTCGCCGTTATTTCTGAGCTTCACGTATACAAAACCCGTTTGCTACTGCGACCACATGAAATGGGAATAATGGGCAAACATTAGACTGCAGTCGCTGTTGGCGAGCCAGGCACCTTCGTTCCCAGTGGATTTATGACCTCAGAAATCCATGTTAATCATTATGCTAATCAAAGTATTGCAGCGAGGAATGTCAAGTTGGACCGCCTTACTTTATAGTCAACCCATGCTAATTTTATTGCCGGAACGCTATCCGACACAGATGTGCACACAGCGTCGTTGATTCCAACAATTGCACCCAAACCCCTCATTTGTCGTTATTTATAGGTCTCAGATGCGGATGGTTAGGCCGCGGCACGAAACGAGAACTGCCGTATTTTCCGCGGCATCGTGGGGATGCGAACTTTGGGCTGGCATGAACCTGCAGTAGGAGCTTGTGTTCTAAGCGTCTTCGTTCACGCTGTATTGGTCAGTTTCGAGGCTTCTGATTGATGGTATTCTCGTATTGGTCGCTCCACTGAACCTTTTGACCGATCCAGGTGACTTGGGTGCGATCCACCTGGGAAATCTCTCACCCACTGAGCTGAGCGAAATGATTTGTTAGTTGGATACGCCGCGGTATCATATTCTGGTATTTCGCAACTTCGCCAACATTGCATTCTCCACGGTTGCTATTTTCCTGAACATTATCCCCATTGGTATATTGCTACCGGAATAATTCTTACAAGACTGAACGGAATTAAATGTGATGCGACGTGATGTTGTTTTCCCAACAAACTGATAGCGTTTTTGTGGACATTCTTTACGTCCAAAGTCTGGTTGATATACCCCATGTCCACCTATAATGGATAATTTCAGACAAGTTCAAGTTCAAGCGGGACTGGAACGATAGGATAGATCCCGTGAGTGTTCCTTCTTCGGCGGGTCGTTGAACCAGGAGTTGGCGAACACATAAACGCGGTGCTATGGCATACGCCAAACGCACAGCAATTCACGTCGCGCAAAGAACGCCGAGTTACGTAACCATTTACAGCTATCCGAGTAAACTTTCTGCAACGCGAATTTAGAGCAGAAACTTGTAATTAACGGTGTACTCCTACAGTGCTCCGTTTCACGCGGGAAAAGGAATAGACATGACTTTCTGGTGTCTTGACAGACCAGAATGGAATTCCCATATCACACACACCACTATGATCAACTTGTAATCATCCGACCACCCCGCACTTTTCAAGCCCTGATGTGCAACTCAATAAGTGATGCGTAGTGATAATAACCAGCCGAGGACGCGGGTGTATTTTGGGGCAGATAAAAATGCAGTTTTGCCCAATTGAGTCACCCAGCAGGCACTAGAGGACCCTAACTTTGGGAGGCTGGATCTCAACTTCTGCAGCCGAATTACAGTTGGTAATAACTCTGTTAAAGAGAAATGCTGCATCAAAAATACGACCAGAAGGTGATTAGTACAGTTTGTTGTGGTGACAAGAGAGACGAGGTTAAACCAATTTTTCAATAAATTGTCAGGCTAAAACTCTGCCGACTCTACCACTTCCGTCTTCTCGGTGGGTACAGCACATTTGACCTGATGACACGAAGTCCGGAGATTAGCTCTTAAGCAAATCTGCCATAAAGTTTTATGGGCTTAGTAAATAGAACTGGGCATACCGAATTCTGATATCTTCCGTTTGTCCCCAGACTATGCACCTAATGATTAAAGAAGCTAGAATACGTGTCCTGCGGTCACCAATTTGGCGGATGGTCACTAGTATATTATAGAAAATAGACGGAATTTCTCATGTCACACCGGATATTTGTTGGGGATACCAAACAAAAATATTACATCTCTGAGCAGCGAATAGAAGTGGAGAGTGAACTTACCAATCAAATGGTTGCCTGCCTGTATAGGTAACGTGCGTTTATGCAAGTTTCTGGGTTACTGCCTTACGCTAGTCAGGCGAAGTAATTGCTTGCGGATGCAGTTTATTTTTCTGAGTCTGCGGACGGTGCATAAGTGGTGTTATTCGGCCAGCGCACTGCAGACACCATATTAGTAATCCCCTGATATGGAAGCTAATCTATCAGATTTTGACAGGGATTTCCATATGGGGTAAACACGTAGCGAGAATAATTTGTGTATACAACCCAGCCGGTTGTATTGCTCTGCCAGTTTGAGACTATGACCTCGCAGGCTGATCATGTGACTGAGCGTTAGAATAAAATTGCGCAAGAATAGCTTCCTTCCTGTCGATACCATTCGCCAAGGAGCACTAGGATAAGTACCAAGACAACTGGCAGAGCCAATGGCCAAGTTCTCTCAGCGCTGAGTCTCACAGAACTAGGTTCCCGTCATGCGGAAGCATAGAATATGGATTCCGGTTCATAAAAAGGGAAACGGTGCTGCGGCTTCATAATGCCGCCCGTTAGCTCTTTTCCATATTTGTTCCAACGTCACAGGATCCATCATTATTAATATGCTGATGGTCTATGCAGAAACTGAGACAGTATTGTTCTTGAGCAGCACGGTTTCCGTTAACAGCGATCTTGCACAACGAATTTACTGATCGCATAGAGTAGTTGGACCGAGTCATCTGACGCTGGAGATGAGGTTGTCATGAAGTACCTGGAAAGTCCACAGGCATTCGATCGTCTATATCATCGAATAATACTTGCTAAGCTTCAGCATTACAACGTCAGTGAACCTAACACAGGATGAATCGTTACCTTTCTGTATCAACGGCTACTGGTGGCCAGAGTTGGGATTTCTTTATCTGTCCAAAGCGAAGTCGAATGTGGTGTGCCGCAAGGATCAGTTGCAGAGCCATAAATGTTTTCGGACTTAATATTAAGGATTTCGCAAATGAAATCGCTTCATGTTTCCTACTGTTCGCCCTAGATATCAAGATGTAATGTGGAATTTAGGCGAATACCAATCAACATTTGATTCAATTAGTCCTAGAAACGATCATCAGTTATTAACCTGATAAGTACTTTAATTCAGCTTGGGAAAATGCTAGATATGCTCCATAAACGCCATGTCATCTGCCCATACAGGCTAGGAGCACACCTACTGCAGCGATTCTCCGTCAAACGTGACCTGAGTGTGCTGGTTCATAATGACTTAGGATGTTATAGGTAATCAGAAGAGACTTCGAAATCTAGTAACCTACACGACGGTACGTTGCGACCTGAGTTTGGACAAAGAGAAAAATCTGTTTTCCGACTGATCCTCAGTGAGTAGGTTTGCCCCTTGCCGAATACGCAATTGAAGACTGACAGCCATAGCTAAAACATGAACTAACTGCACAAGTGCAGCCTCAACTTCGGGTTTCCAAGTACATTGCTGAAATTCGCAATATCATCAAGTGAGCATAGGCTGATGTGTTTTGAAATGTTTAGCTGAATGCGGGGCAAAGCTCAAGACGACCTGATAATTGCATACTTGATTCTGCACCATCCGAATCAAGCGTATAACTTTGTAATGCAACGGAGCAGCAACACAAATTTTAGTGGTACTTCTTGAAACCGGAAGAAAGATATAGCTTCTTGGAATGTCACAGAAATCATTTTTCTGTTCTTGCAAGTCACTCTTGAAACGCTCTCCCCTAATCGATCGTTGCTGCACCGATACTAGTCTTATCCGAAAGGCGGTAGGACCGCGACGTCCTGATGCTGGCACTTTTTCGTTCACAATAGCCGAGTTCGCGCCTATGTTTGCTTTCGGAAGCACTCAACCCTGCGAAAATCATTGAGATGTGAAGCCGCCTCCTCGGGTCGTTTTTGCACCCCAATTGTTTATATAACGGGTCTCTATTTCTTTTTCGCAGTAATTTGCTCACAGTCGTTTCTCGGCAACTGACACCATACTGTCCAACAGTGACAATAGTAAACGAAAGATAATCTTTCAACCACGAGATCCCCCTACAGGCTTCTGGTGTCGTTTGAGGCCCCGCCTAGTACACAAAGTGTTAAGCTAA